GGGGGGGGGGGGGTGCCATTTTAGTTCCGGAAGATAGTAAAAGTCACAATAGTCTTACGACTTTCAAAAAGTAATCAAAAGTAGGACTGATACGATTTTGGGCCCGAAAGGCCCGATAAGCCATGTTGTGCAGATGTGGTTTTTTTTTTCTTTTTTTTTTGACATGCTGGCAGCAGTTATCACACGTGGTATGACACTAAACCTGTGGGACTAGTTTTGAAACTTTCATATTTTTTATATTGTATGCTCTTGTTTTGTTATATAAATTATATTATAAATAAACATATTATTAAGTAAATCTAAAACAAGATTACGAATATATATATTTATTTATTGTGGATGTTTATAAACAATTTCAATTAGTAATAAAGATATAATATGAATATTTGCAAAACTTTTGAAGCACTGCACAATTTTTAATTGACTTATTATCTAATATTCACATTTAAAATATATAACATTTTTCTTGGTAATTTTTTTTATTATTTAATAAAATGTATTAATAAATTTCAGCAATAATATTAAATTGTTATAAAATTATAAAAGTAGCTTTATTCATGACATATTATAATTAAAAAAAATTATTCATGACATTTTTTTGGTAATTTAAAATTATTTGATAAAAATATAGTATTTATTTTTGTAATTTTATATTTAATTTAATAATAAAATTTAGTAAAAAATTAACTATAAAACTGAATTATTATCAAATTACAAAAACAATTTTATTCGAATTCCAAGTGGCATGTCATATAGAGGGCCACCCAATTGGAGTGGGAGGTCATAAGCGTCTATATTGCAAAATCAATTTTCGACGGAATGAAAAAGACATATATGATATAATTTATAAAATTACAGAAATAGTTTTAATCATGACATAATTATAGCTAAAAATTTTATTCATGGCATACTTTTACTTTTTTTTTTGTAATTTTATAATTATTTAATAAATAATATCGTAATTAGTAAAAAAAAGTTAACTATAAAATTAGTATATTCTAAAATTATAAAAATAGTTATATTCAACTTACCAAGTGGCATGTCAAATGGAGGGTCATCCAATTGGAGTGGGAGGTCATAAGCGTCTATATTGCAGAATCAATTTTCGACGGAATGAAAAAGATATATATAGTTTATAAAATTAAAAAAAGTAGTTTTGTTTATGACATAATTATAGCTGATATTTTTATTCATGACATCATTTTTTTATAATTATATATAAAAATTATAGTATTTTTAAAAACAAATTAACTATAAGCGTAAATTATTATATAATTACAAAAATAATTTTACCCATGACGTAATTATAGTTAACACTTTTTACTATATTTTCCATCAAATAATAATGAAATCATATAAAAAGATTTTGTCAATGAATAAAAAATGTTAACTATTATTATCTGATGAATAAAACGTTTTTTTGTAAATTTATAATAATTTAATATTAAAAATAGGCTAAAAAATCTATTAAAAATAACACATCGCAAAATAAAAGTAATTAAAAATATTTTATAATTTTGTTGAATGTATATTGTATCCTTATTCATAATTTTAAATTTTTATAAATAGTTAAAATACATAATTATATATATTCATAAGTGTTGTCGTCTTAGATTTACTTAATAAAATATTTATATTAATTAATATATGTATATAATGATTTATATAACAAAAGAAGAGCATAACAATATTAAAAATAAGAAAAATTTCAAAACTCGTCTCACATGTTTAGAGCCATGCCATGTGTGATGACTGCGGCGGCTAGCGTGTTAAGAAAAAACGTCAAGTATGCTCCACATGGCTATTGGGCCTTTTGTACCCGAAATCAAATCAAAAGTCTTACCTTTTATTACTTTTTGAAAGTTGTGGGATTATTTGTGACTTTCGCTATTATACTAGACAGAAAATGACACCCCCACCTCAATCTTTGGGACTAGTTTTGAATTTCCTCCCATTTTTTTTACAACAACATGGTTTCACTACTTTTTTGGCATGCTTGATTTCATTTTTTTTTTTTTTTTTTGGTACAGGGACCTTCCGGTTTCCGGATCCACAAGGGAACCGACTAATTCGGAATTGACAACAATCAATACCACCAACTATTAAATACAACTATCAAGTATCAACTCTCAATTCACCTGAATATGCCAAACCAAGCATGCCCAAAACAACACTATTAACTACCCTAAGAAAGGAAAAAAAAAAAAAAAAAAATGATAATGAAATTGGAGGGGGAAGTTTTATCTATGGATGGACATGCAAGCGATGTTTGTTGGAAAATGTGGCAAAAAAGCAACTTAAAATCTCTACCATAAAATGCTCACACAAACAACACAAAATTCCAAGTACTTTATGCTAATTAACCAAAACACAAACATATAATAGCACCTCACTCACATACAATGCTCTCTGCTGCACTTCTGCACAACCATCACACAAAAGTAATCTGCCACACTTAAATGCTCCACACTAACGGAATTACTCTTACCTCATTTTGGAATCCCAAAAATAAATTTAAAAAACAGAAAAATATTTTAAGAAAACCAAAAAACACAAAAAAAAAAAGCATCACTAATCAGCCTAAAAAGAAGTGAATTTATCTTTTAGATAAATCACAAGAATCATTTTTATTTATTTATTTTTTTTTTTTGTTCAAGAATTTGCAAACACTGCCAATTAAGGCACACAAACCTTAAAAACAGATAAAATAAACAATAAAATAAATAAATAACTCATTCATCCCAATCAAATTCATAAATTGTACATCAAATCAAATCAAATCAACATTTCAGTTTCAAGAAAACAGCAATCACCTGAAACCATAAATCATAACCCAAGAACATTACAAAGCAAGAACAATTAACCCTAGTTAATTTGTTTCCACTTCTGAAGAATACCTAGCTAGGTTGTTGTTGTTTTCTTACCGAGAGTGTGCTTGTTATTGTGCATCCACACCTTGAGCACCTGTCTTCTAACCCCAACCTCTCTGCAGAACTGCTGCACAATATCCTCGTCTTGCTTCTGTATCTTCCACTCCAGCCGCTCCGCCAGCCCCAGCATCTTCTCCTTCTGATCCGGCGTGAACTTCGTCCGGAACCTCTTGCTCCCCGACCCCCCGCCGCCGGAGCTCGACGGCAGGGCCAGCCGCGGCCCGCCCATCTGGTGCGGTGGCGGCGGGTGGAGAAACCCCGCCGGCGGACGGTGGCCCAGGAGAGGAGGGTACTGCCTGATGGGCGGCGGGCCGCCGTTCTCCTTCCGGTGGAAGTTCCGGTGGCAGCCGCAGGCGGCGCACCGGAGGGACTCCATCGTGCCGTCGTCCCCAGCCGGCATGAACTCGCCGCAGCCGTCCACGGCGTGGCCGCCGATGCCCACCGCGTGGTTTTTGAGGCACTCGCGGTAGCGGGGTCGACGTGGCGGCGCCGGTTCCGACGGGCTCGGCATTCTGGTCGAGTCTGAGTTGAGGTGCGAGTCGGTGTACCCGGGTTCTGACCCGGCTTCTTCCGAGTGCTCCTCCTCTTGGTCCTCAAAGTCCATCTTTTTTTTTCTTTTTTTTTTTTTTTTTTTTTTTTTTTTTTGGGTTAGATTAAATTCGGCAGCTTAATTATGTTGAGAAAAAGTTTTATATATATCCTCTTTTATGTGTAAATTGTAATGGCCTGTTTTAGTTTATAGACATGCATTATACTTAAAACCTAGGATGGGGTTAGACCGGCTACCGGATGTACCGGTTTTTTCTTTTTTCCTTTTTTCTTTTTATTTTTTTTTTTTCATTGGAAACTTTGTGTTAAGAAAAGTGATGAAGATAAGATAACGTCAGATAATGTAATACGTGATATAGTGGACCGAATTATTCATCCTAGCTTCGACTCTCTGATTATTTTATTTATTTATTTATTTATTTATTTATATGTCAAATTTTGAAAATATATATATATATATATGTATAAATATAATGTCTCATAATAAGTATTTATTTTTGCTAAAAAAATATATGATAGACTTGCTAGGTAATCTACAACGATATCATAGGTTTCATAAGAAATTATTATTTTGTGAGAATAAGAAATGTTAAGAAAAAAAAAAATATATATATATATATATAGTCATCCAATTATTTTAGAACGATGTGACTTTTCATTTACCTCATCCAGCTCTTCATTCAAGGAAACATTGTAGATCATTGATAATTGTCAAATAATAATCAATGAATCAGATAATATATGCTCCAACCTAGGCAATTTATATTAAATATGTGTAAAAACATGAATACAAGTTTTTATTTTACAAGTTTAAATAATTTTTACAAAATAATAGTATTGTTTTGATTTAAAACGATACACCTCACTGGCGAGATTCGACGATATTATATTATAACATTTTTAGTACTTATAACATGTAATAAGCTTGATAGATAATTTTTTTTTTCAATTATAATTGATAAATATTGAAGTTTTTTATTGATAAAATCAGATAGATATAATTATTTTAATTTATATATACAATATGAATGTCAAACTATATATGACTAATTTAAGTTATCATATATAAAAAATGATAAATATATAAATTTTATTAACTTGTAAAATATATTTACAATTCAAGTTACCCGAACATTTAATTTGAAAGTTCAAGATAAAGAACCATATTTGTGTGGACTATTTGAATCCTTTGAAATTAACATATAGAATTACAAAGCGTTCGACATTAATAATGAAAAACTCTACATTTATATATAAGAAGAGAATCCATAAGGAAATCTATATAAATTAAAAAAAATATAAATTATGACATTTAGGCTTTCCTTATATTAATAAATATTGCAAAATGACTTGTTTGTTTCTTATTATAAAAAAAAAAGGAAAAAGGATTGTAAAATACTTCTAGTATATTTCTTTATAATAATAAAAACGTAAAATAAATAACCAGATCTCATTCCCAATTTTTTTTTTTTTTTAGCATCAAGTCAAAGATAAATTGAATGGGGAACGTCTAATCACCAGATTGTTCCAACAATTTATTTAATTGTTAATATAAGCACTTGTGAAATATGGTTAAAAATTTGGTCGATTTTTTTTTTTAATTCAAGCGTTTGCAAATTTTTCTCATAATAAGTTTTACATATATATAATAGAACCTAGAAAATTTATAATTTGTACCGTACAATCTATTAATTCGTTTTAATTAATTGTTAGCAACTCCAATTTAATACTCAACCAAACAATTACCTTTAAAATTATTAAGATGTTTTAAAAAATAGTTGTATGTTCAGTTAAGTCAAAATATTATTTTTACATTGAAAGCTGGTCAGTAGGCTGCCCTAATTGGTGCAGCTCCCAATTGATCCCTTTTTAGAATTTATTTTGGGCAATGCTATATGTACACCCCCTTTTTATAAATTACACAAAGAAAAGTGCTATATGTACACCCTTTTTTTACACACAAGGGGGTGTACATATAGACACCCCCTTTATTTTTCTTCTGGCATCATCACACTAAATAATAATATAAGAAAATACTACAGTCCCGTTACGAAATCATCTCATCAGAATTTATAATTGTTAGATCATCATGTAACAGTTGTAAAAAGTTGATCTAACGGTTACAAACCTCAACGGAATGGTTCCGTAACGGGACCGTGAAATCTCCCAATAATATATATGATTAAAGCTGAATAATATCGATGTTATGATATCTGGCTAAAAATAGGGTTTAAATAAATTAATTAAGTCGGTTTCTTCTTTTAATATGATTTTCTTAGAATAAAGTTGATTTATATCTTAATATAAATATTCCATTAAAATAAAATGTAATAATAAAATAAAAGTTTTTTTTTTCCTTTTTTTTTTCTTTTGGGACGTAGTGTGTGTCCGCAGTACCGCAGCAGCAGATACAGTAGCAGAAAACACAACCACCATCACCACGCGCGGCGTGAACATGGTGCGGGGCACGCGTTGCTTTTTAAAATTGAACTGACGCGTGGTGGTCCGGGTGGATCCCAAGAAGGCGCGTGCAGGCGGCGCGTTGAAACCTATGCGAGGGATTGTAAAAATCTAGGCAGTGGTAATTAAATGGAAAATTTAGTAGATAAAAACAAATTTAAGGTAGTGCTTAGCAATTAATGCTGCTGGTGAGGGTGCAGTTAGTGTCATTACATCTCCAATGTGGGGTTTTCTGACCAGAGTGACGTCACCCTAAATTAATGTTAATTTTTGTCCCTGTTATATTGGTGGGATAAGATTAAATTGCCTTGGGAAATTAGCTTGCAACTTGTTTTGATCAATACCAAATTAAAAATTTACCATCAAGTTGGTAAATTATTTTTTATTTTTTTTGGCTGTGTCAACCAATTATGTCAACATAGTTGTATGTCATAATCTGGAAATATTTAATGAATTTTTAAATTTAAAAAATTCTATTGTGTTTTGATTTGTACTTTTTTATACTTTTAAAAAAGGAAAATTGCACCATACTCTCATATGTTATAGGAAATCTGTATTTTAATAATTGCGCCAAACCTTATTATATTTAACTAACTGATGCACACGTCTCTATTTTTCCAATTAACGGTGTTACTTTTTTTTTCATATATATTTACGGTAAATTAAATTTATTACTATATTTTTAAACAATCGGGATAAATTGGCTAAAAGAAATTTGTTGCCCATGAAATTTGAACCTGAGATCTCAAGGGAGTGTAGAAGCATTGCAATCACTATCCAGGTTGAGTTTTATATTATATACATTACAAATGAATAAATTAAATTAAATTTAGAAGATAATGAAAAATATATTTAATTCAGGTTGAGTTTTATATTATATACATTACAAATGGATAAATCAAATTAAATTTAAAAGATAATAAAAAAAATATTTAATTCAATTAATAAACTATAAATTTATAATAAAATAAAATAAAAAATTTACTTTTATTTTATACCATATTATTCTGTTATATTATTCATTTTATTTCTTCTTATTTTATCTTAGTTAACATATTACTTTTGTAACTGAAGATAATGATATAAAAAAAAATAAAAAATTTACTAAATAAAATTATGAAATCAAAAATATTTATTTACAATTAAAATAATTTATTACAAACTCATAATTTATTCCATTTTTTTATAAATATATTTTATGTAAGAGTAAACCATACAAAAATTTTCTAATTAAAATAATATACTAAAAAATGATAATCTATTCCTAATTTATTAAACATATTTTATGTAAGCATAAACCATACTAAAAATTATATGATAAATAATTTTTTGTTTTATTATATTAATATACTATTTTTATTTATTAATTTATAATAAGTTATTGTATTTATTATTTATTTTGATTAACCATTGTTTATATTATATTATATTAGTTTATTTAACTAGTATACATTAATATCATTTATATATTAATTTTATTTAAAATAAAATTCTTTTATTCGTTTTCCAAATTTATATAATTAATTTTATATAATAAATAAAATAATTATGAATTTATTTAAATTTTATTCATGCTACAATAATAATTTTTATCCTACCTTAATTTATTTTTTAATTATTTTCATTTTAATTTATGCTATTATAATAAATTATATCTTATTTTATTTTATAATTTTTAATAATTTTTATTTTAATTTAATTTATTTCAAATTATTTTTATTTTTATTTTTATTATTATTATTAATTAAATATACCTATAATATTACTTATTGTTTTATTTAATTTATAGTAAATATACCTATAATATTAAAATTTATTATTATTATTAATAAATTATAAATTTATATAATTAATTTTCTTGTAAGAAAAATATATATAATTTATGTAATTTTTTTTTTCATTTTGCTATATAAAATTTTATCTCACCTTATTCTAATTTATTATTTGTCATTATTTTTATTTTATTTTAATTATTGCAAGTTATTACTATTATTATTATTATTGTTGTTATTATTATTATTATATTAAATTTAACTGCTACAATTTTATTTTATTTTATGTTCTTAATTCGGTTGGTGTTTATTGTGTTTTTGTGTTTATTTCTATGTGTTTTTGTGTGCTTTCGAGTCGATTTTATATTTATTTTAGTGTCGACCGGTCCACTTTCTCGTTTATCGTGAGTTTTTATGTTTTTGTTGTTTATTTTATATGTTGGCGTACTTTTCCGTGTTTTGCTATGAATTTCAGGTTTATTCCGAGATAGAGATGGAGAGAGAATCGAGCCACATTCTGAGATATGAGCAGTTTTTGAAGAAGTCGAGTTTCCGAGAAGTTTTGAACCATCGTGCACGAGACGTTTCCACGGCCGAGTTTTCCAAGCCCTAGTCAATTCCCAAGTCCAAGCAGCTGCCGCACGTCGCGTGCCCGCGCGCAGCTCCGCGCCATCAAGACCTACAGCCGCACGCCGCACGCCGCGTACACGCGTGCAGTTCCGCGCCATCGAGAGCCATCACAGGCCGTGTCCGCGTGCCCGCGCACCTTTCCGCGATGCCGAGAGCATGCCCGCGCCCGTCCGCGCGCCCACCGAGGATTCCG